TGACTAGGTGATTATTATATATTTGCGTTTCCTTTTATATGAACTTCCGTTACGGAAGGATGTTTTAATACTATAACCTAATGTTTTTGCTTATAAAAGATACAAGTACTTGTATTTGTTTGTGTGTTTTGGAAATAAGTTAATCGAGTTTTAAATTGGTTACATTAATTTCCCACAAGAAAGATGAAACCCGAAGTGATTTTTTCCCACAATACCCGACCCTACCCGACCCGTTCATGCATGGTTTACCAACTTATTTTGCGTGCCGCGGGTTGGTTAATAGCCAACCCGAACAAATCGGGTAGGCCCAAAAAATATAACAAACCCGACCCAACCCGCCCGATGTGCAGCCCTAAGTGAGGCATCAAGTAAGATGCATATATTTAGGCTCAGATTGCCTATTTACTTCACAAAAAATTGGGGCATACAAAACTATATACATAGAATCAATACCAACCCATTCATTTCAGTTTTTGGTGGAAGCTATCATCATTGCCAACATATGCAACATTTTATCTCTAATAAATCAATACATTTGCAAATCCCAATAGTTCCAGCAAGGCAACAAGTAAGATGCATATATTTAGGCTCAGATTGCTTATTTACTTCACAAAAAATGGGGGCATACAAAACTATATACATATAGAATCAATACCAACCCATTCATTTCAATTTTTCGTGGAAGCTATCATCATTGCCAACATATGCAACACTTAATCTCTAATAAATCAATACATTTGCAAATCCCAATAGTTCCAGCAAGGCAGCAAGTAAGATGCATATATTTAGGCTCACATTGCTAATTTACTTCACAAAAAAATGGGGGCATACAAAACTATATACATATAGAATCAATACCAACCTATTCATTTCAATTTTTGGTGGAAGCTATCATCATTGCCAACATATGCAACACTTAATCTCTAATAAATCAATACATTTGCAAATCCCAATAGTTCTAGTGAGGCATCAAGTAAGATGCATATATTTAGGCTCAGATTGCCTATTTACTTCACAAAAAATTGGGGCATACAAAACTATATACATAGAATCATTACCAACCCATTGATTTCAATTTTTGGTGGAAGCTATCATCATTGCCAACATATGCAACACTTAATCTATAATCATTTAGTATAGAGATAAACAAGATTACCATGTCTTTTTGTACAAGCACACTAATAGGTGAAATTGTACCAGTGGAACAACAACACTTCCATTTACCATCGTACCAGCAGGTTTATGCTTTTGCAGGCACAACATTGACATAATGACAGAATCATAGCATAGCATATCATTAGTGAAATAACATATTACATATTTAAAAGATAAAGAAAAAGTTTTACTATTATCTTATCAAGAGAAGGGCCTCCACCAACATTCCCATCAGTTAATTCTGCATTCAAAACACAACATTAAGTTAGCAAATAATAATAAGTTGAAATATAAAATTTCAAAAAAGAATGTGTAAAAGCTTGTACCTGTTTCCAACCTCTCTACCTCTTCAATGTTTTCTTCTATTGAGACAGGCTGATTGGACATCCTTAACCAGTCTTGAACACATATGAGGGCTTCCACAATTTTGGCACTCAATGAACTCCTAAAGTAGTCTAACACTCTTCCACTTGTACTAAAAGTAGACTCAGAAGCTATTGTGGAAATAGGAACAGCAAGAATATCTCTTGTCATCTTAGATAGAATTGGAAACCTCTCACCATTAAGCTTCCACCATCTCAAGATGTCAAATTCACTATCCTCCTCAATTATGTTCTCACCCAAATAAGTTTCAAGTTCAGTTTTTTTCAAGCCTAACACCCCACTGTCTTGTTTTTGTTTTTTCAATTGGGCTTTCAATATGGAGACAGACCTACCTCCAGTTGATTTAGATTGCAAAGGAACCACATTAGGGGTTAAAAGGGAGCTTTCACTAACCGAGCAATCACAGTTTGTAACATAATCACTATACAACTCATTCAAACCCAACTTTATCTTTTCAAAGAAGGCCTTGCCTGTCTTTTCCTCATACAAAGCAATTAATTGATGGGGCCTGTCTTTTCATGTTCATTTTTTCTGGATCACCCCATTACTTGTCTAGTTTGGCTTTCATATTAGTCCCCATTAGTTTCACAGAATTAGTTTCAGAAGCTTCCATATCTTTGAGAACAAGGAACAGATCAGATATTTCAGAGAAAAAGGTATTAGCAGTCACATAGAGAGAACCTGAAATCCTAAGGGTCATTTCATAAAAGTTTTTAAGTACATCTACCAAAGTTTCAACTGCAAGCCAATCCTCAACATCAGGAGTTTCATGTTGCAGATCAATAGAATATGAAGTCTCAATCTCCTCATAAGCTTCAAAAACTTTTTCATTAGACAGTGCAACATTCAGCATGAGATAGGTTGAATTCCACCTAGTTGGGACATCTAGGTGCAATCCAGCTTTAGTTTGCACTCCAATCAAGTCTGAAATGTCCTTGAATTTTTGTAACCTAGCTGGTGAGTTTCCAACATACTTTATAGCATCTCTTACTCTTTGAACAGAACCATCATCTTCTTTTAAACCATCTTACATAGCTAAATTTAGGATATGAGCAATACATCTCATATGAAGGTACTTTACTTTCACAGAAGAGGCACCCCAAGATAAAAGTTTTTTCATAAAAAAAACTACTGCAGTATCATTAGTACTAGCATTATCAACAGTTATGGTGAAGATAGATGTCAATCCCCAATCTAGCAAACAAGACTCTAGAGCTTTGGTTAGGTACTCTCCTCTATGGGAAGTAACAGGAGCAAAGGAGATAATCTTTTTTTCAGCTTCCACTCATGATCAATAAAATGTGCAGTTATACACATCTAGTTGATCCTCTGTACAGAGGTCCATGTGTCAGTTGTTATAATGACCCTCTATGTGTGCTCCCTAAAGTACCTTTTCATATTCAGCTTCCCATCTAAATAGATTTGATAGATGTCCCTAGCAATTGTCCATCTAGAAGGAATTTGAAACCTAGGACAAGCTATAGCCATAAACTTCCTAAACCCTTGCCTCTCTACAAATCTAAATGCAAGTTCATCAATTATGAGCATTTCAGAAAGTGCTCTCCTAACTGCAACTTGATCAAACACCCAATTCACTAACACTCCAATATTTTCAGGTGTTGGATTACACAAGACTAGTTGGAAACTGAGAAGGGCTTGCCTAGTATCTTTTGAGCAAGGAATTTTCAGACAGTTCAGTATGTGATTTCTAAGAGAGGAAGTGACATGCTTCTTGGACTCGCAACAGTATGTTCTGGCACAATGTTTGCATTTTGCTTTGATAAGGACACCTTTACTATCTTCTATCTTGTCAAAGTATTCCCATATTATGGATCTGGACTCTACCTCCTTTCTCTTTTTTCCAGAAACAAGCACATCAACAGCAGGTATCTGCTGAGTGCTGGTGTTAGGCCCAACATCATGAGCTTCGACCATAGGTTCTTGAGAAATAAGAGTCAGAGGGGGTTGAGAACCAGATGTAGGTATGGTATCAATACATTGACCTTCCATTCTCATAATTATAGAAAGTTCAAATACCTCAATGCAGTAAACACATTGAACAATGAACACATAAATGACATTATCACATATTGACAATCACAAATACTTCTACACATGCACAGTAAAGTCTGGAACAATCAACAATGTAATCTACAGAAGGATATAAGCAGTAGGATTATTCTGATCTCTTCTCTACAGACTTAGAAGATACAAGTGCACTCTAACTACTCGTTTGAGTGTTTGAGTACAAAAAGGTAACTTCAACACTTGTGAGCCAGAATCTATGAAATATGAATCATCAATTTGTCATGTTTACTCAGAAAATTATATTCAGCCATCATCTTATTCAGTACTCAGTAGTTCAAAATACATATCACATATGTATCAAGGCATCAAGCTTACATTTAAGTATTTAAGAGGCATCACAGATGGATCACATTTTACAAATCCACATACCACAATGAAATATGTATCAAAAAAAGTCAAAACGAGGTATCAGGGTTCACATTAACGGGCTGACTGGCATCACCATCTCACATATGCATCACAAATTACAAATCCATAGTCAAGTAGGCAAACAGAGGTATCATTGAGGCAATAAGGCTAACATTTAACAAATCCATTGTAAATAGGCTTCCACCATTCATGAATGAGTGAGTCACAATTACACAAGTAATACATATCAAAAGACAATAACAGTATAACACAACATGTCTAGGGTTCGAGCTTCCAGGTTTCCACCATAGTATAATACCAGTTATATCACCATAATAGTTAATGAAATAAAACTTTTATACCTCACAACAGACTCGTAGTGTCGTATAGTCGCAGGCTTCCACCGTTCCACCGTTCTAAGCTTCCACCGTTGTTAAGCTTCCACCAGTCCAAACTGGAGGAACAACAAGCCAGAGAGGAGAGGCAGAGACAAGCCAGACAATGAACTATCAGTGCCGGACTCCCAGAGGGTGAATGAGAGAGATCAGATTGACGAGAGATTAGAGAGAAGGGATCAATGAAGGCATTGAAGAGAGAACTCAGAGGAGTCTGCGATGAAAAGGATTAGGGTTAGCCGTTTAGGGACTTAAGGTTACAGACTAGGTTACCTGTAAATAATTAGTATATATACTACTTGGAGTTTCGGGTTTTTCAGGCGGGTCGGGTAGCGAATTTTAAAACCCTACCCGCGACCCGCTACCCTGAAACCTTAAGCAAACCGGGTTCGGTTTGGATTTTCAGGTTCGGGTCACCCGACCCGGTGGGCGTACAAAGGGTATATCCGAACGGGTTTTCGGGTCGGTTCGAATTTTGCTCTCCCCTAATTATGTCCTATGAAACATACGTTCTTATTTTGGTCCTGAACACGGGTCCTCTTTTAATCCTAAAAGGATAATTAACTCTTGCAATATCAAGTGAATGATTCTTGATGTTTGCAATATTTATTAATCTTGACTCTCATTAAGGTTCAAAACTTCAAATCATATTAATTAATGACTCCTTCAAATGACTCCTTCAAATGTAATTTGGACTTTGGAGTAATAAATAGATGTCGCCATATCTGATGATGGCCAATTCAGATTTCAAAATAATCACGCTAAAAAACTCGCGATTCAACCATTTGCTGGGCACGTTGGCACGTACACCACGTTGCAGACGACAGGAAATGATGGATCCAAGATCCTCTATTTTAATTTCGCCTATTATTACGCTCATACCCCTGTTTGGAATGACAATTTACATTCTTGGTTCTGATCTCAACCGACATAAATTTATTTATCCATAACAAAAACGCCAAAAAATAAAATAAAACTAATATTAAAATATTCAAGAAAAACAAGTTACACCGGAAAATGAAAATCGGGGGTGTAATAATACAGTGACAGAGATTTCGCCGGACGGCCGGCGGGAGACGGCATTCATCTCACTCGAAGATCTCATAATCGTCGGCGTTTCGAGACACGAGGTGCCATTTGCGAGCCTTCAATCTCTTCAAAACCCGGTCGAGGGTGACGTCAAACGCGTCTCTTACATTCCCCAGCCCTTCTTTCCGGCTGGCGTACACGATTTCCGGCATCAAATCGATGATCGTTTCTCTCATCTGCCTCACGTTCTCTCTGTGCACTCCTTCCAGCACCTCCCGGATCATCGTACCGTTGCTGTTCCTGACGCCGGCGTTGTCGATGTAGACGGAGAACGTCTCCGACCGCCACGGCAGGTGCCACACGTACTGGTCCTTGAATGTCCCTTCCCAGAAGTACACCGGGATGGCGCCGGAGATCATGCAGTCGTATATTGACCGCCGCGTCATCCCGTCCCCCTTCGGCTGCAGGCAGAAGTCCGAGTGGAGGAACGAGTCGAACACCGCCGGCGACCCGTCCGAGCACATCACGGCGGAGCAGTCCACCGCCCGGCACGCCTCCTCGTCGATGCAGTAGTCCATCAGCATCCCTCGGAAGTCGTTTTTGATTTTGTGACGCTTCGCTCCGACGAAGGTGAAGAGGCTGTCGCGCTTCTGGGATCTGACGTGGCTCTGCCACTGCCGGATGTCGGCTTCCGACCGGGGGTGGAATCCGGTGGGGTACGGCACGCTCTCTTCCAGTCGGTCCTTGTCGTGCTTCTCCACCCCCAACCGGAAAACGTTCTTCATTCGAGGCATGTACAGGAAACTCGTCCCCCAATCGCCGTCGTTGTCGGCCAATCGCCGGAAATCCCAGGTCAATCTACCCAGAACTATGAAATGGTCCACACCTTTGTGCTTGATATAAGTCGGCTGCTCTTCCAGCCAATCTAGGAACATCTCACAGTACCGGTCCCGATCTTGGTAAGTGTAGTTGAACTCCGTGAACAAATACCTCCCGACGGCGATGCCGGCGTAAAAGGGTAAGAAGAATCCGGTGGCCTCATTCGGATCCATCGTTCTACACTTGTGATTCAGCATCCGTTCGTGGTAAATCAGCTCTACAGAGTACATATCCGTCCAATACCACGCCGGGATGAGATTCTCGGGAACAACGCTCTCGAGTCCGGTCGCCGGCGGTCCGAATCCGCCATTTGCGACCACCTTGCACCCGGTTCCCTTCCATGGATCCAGCTCCTTGCAGTTCTCCACGAGTTCGTAGTTGAACTTCCGAGGAATCTCGTAGACGTAGACCTTGCCGGAGCTGCAATCCTGGTGGTTAGCCAGGAGATGTTGGCTGCCGGCAGGGGACTTGGACGGGGAGGAGTGGATGAGGGAGAAGAGAATCCAGATTTGGAGAAGGATGGTGGCGAGAAGGAAGAGGCACTGGTTCAGAGGTAGCTGGGCTTTGACTGATTGTAAAGCGTGTTTTAGCTGAAGTGGTCTGTGCCTCTGCTCCGTTGACTGTCTAATGCCAGGAATTGACAAGTTCAGATGCATCTTCACTCGCTCCGGTGGAAGTAGAGCTTCGGGACTGATCGGAACTGTAACTGGTCTTTCAGAATTCAAACTAGGAAGTGAAGATTCAGGAAGAAAGATAGCTGATTTCCGCGGCCATGAACCCAAGATTTCGAGGCTAGAGACTGTTTGGTTTCTGAGTTGTAACCAGTGTCGGTTAACACAACGTAGCTTTTTCCAGTACTACAAAACCAATTATGACCCGATTGATAGTCTCATATTTTAGCATAATAATCAAAATGAATAAGAGTGTAGTTATTTTTCTACTAAATTGATAGGAGTCGATGTTTTCTTTTGGATTATCCAAAAAAATTTGTTTGATATGTTTTGATATGATCCGTAGTCCTGTACTCCTGTGATCCTGTCAATGGGTCGGGTCTAGACCCGGACCCGATCCGAATCCGGCACTTTATTAGTTTATTTGAGGGTATGAGTCTAAGTTTAGAATCGTTTCCCGGATCTGTATCCGAACTCATTACATGATAAATAAAATTGGTCGGATATTGATTTTTAAGTTCCGGCCCGTTTTGGTTCCGACCCATGATGATATAATTATAGTTATAATTTTTTACATGTACACACACAATATACATTAAAATATTTAAACATAAAATAAGGAAAACAATCAAATATAAAAAATGCTAATGAGTTAGTGCTCTAGGTTCTCTACGAGTTCACTGATTTACATATAGCATACTCCGTGTATATTGTATATATAGTTCATACAGAGTAATGAATATACCAACATTTTGCTTATTTATATATGATCTCTTCCAACATGAACATTTTTTTGTTATATACTCAGTGTTATGGGGGTGTTTGGTAAACGGCGTTTCAGGCGAAAAATGGCGCTTTGACCATTTTTAGTGTTTTCAAAACGGCTGTTTGGTAAATAGTTGTTCGGCACTAGCATTTTTGGCCGGAAACGCTGAAATAAAAACGCTGCTAATAGGAGAGTTTTGGGTTGGCGTTTTGAAAAATGGCGTTTTCGACTAATTTTATGGTCAAACAGCTAAATTACCAAACATCTTTTGACAACCCGCCAATTTATTCCGGAAGTCAAACCTGCTGATTGAATCCGCTAACATAACCCGCTATTCGCTAACCGCTGAATGCCGAACACGCCCTATATTTGTTTGCATATGTCGTTTAGTTTTTTTGCGGTTATACCCGGTCCGGATCCGAGATCCGCCGGATCCAAATCTGGAACATATGTTTAGAACCCGAAGGGTAAATGGGTTCGGATCTGGACCAAAAAAAAATTCAACGGGTATGGATATGAAATTTATAGTTCTGATTCGTATCCGACCCGTTGACAGGCCTAATGGTCTGGTTTAATATGTCAAAGTCGTTTTATTTTGGTTTGAACTAATTTAGTCTGGTCTCTTTATATTTTATAATTGTCCAACTCTGGTCTGACTTGTTTAAATATGGTATGTTTAAGTCTAGTCTGGTTTGGTCTAGTCTAGTCTAAGATTAAAAATAATTTAAAAGAAAACATTCGTACTATATAGCGTAATTTTAGATATTTCTCATATTTCGTACTCCGTATAATTTTGTCTTAATTTTATTAATGAAATAAATTTTATTTGCATTTTTTCATAATTCAATAAATTAAACCAATTCAGCTACTTCAACCTAAATTTAGTTAATTTTAGCAAATCATTCAACCGGTTCAGTCAATTATAATATTACCAAACGAGCTCTATAAGTTAAATCCTCATTTTACATCCAATTATTTGAGTATATTGTTTCAACACTTACTCATTTCTTAATAACCAAATTCTTTTCATTAGAATTTTAATATTTTCCAATCACTTTTTATTCCATGTAAATACTATTGACAGCTTCCCAATCTAATTGGGGGATACCACTAGAGAAAAGGGAGAGCTAAGATATATATAGAGAGAGAACGAGTTTGCTATAAATGATTTCTGAACCCCCAATAACTATTACCAATGGGGGTATTTATTGAGGGAATAGGGGTTGGGCCCTCAGGCCTTGAGCCTGAGAGGCCCGATTACAATAATGGGCCACTAATGGGCCTTTTACATGTGTTCTAATCCATTAAAGGTATAACGCCGATCTCTGCTAGTGATGGATCCGAGGTGCATGGGTGCACCTAGGTGTTGGTGGTGAAGATCCTTATGCGAGTAGTAGTGATTTGTGACCGAGGTGTCACGCCCCAGATCACAATTAAGCGCTTGTACAATCGCCGTATGATCAAGTGACGTCACTCGCAAGTCAACGTGACTTAATCATACAAGACATCCATGAACATAGTTCCATACTTAGTAGGTAAACATACATAATATCACATATTTGGATTGAATGAATAATGAAAATATTCAATAATCAATCATGGGCCACACATGACCAAAATGTGGGCTCGCAGGCCCAAAACAAATGTATTTGTTACAAAGTATCCATGAGCATAGTTTTATAATTTAAATTCCAACCCGCCCATATACCTATGAGTGTATGGACTCCTCCTCGTCCAAATCAATTTCCATAAGGACACCGCCCGGTGCTGAATTGCTAAACCGTAATCTATGAGTTTTGAGGATACACGCCCGATCCTTGGGTACTCCACCTCACATAATCGAGTTTTGGAGATGCACGTCCGATCCTTGAGTACTCCACCCGCATAACCGAGTTTTGAGGATACACGCCCGATCCTTGGGTACTCCACCTTATATAACCGAGTTTGAGGATACACGCCCGATCCTTGGGTACTCCACCCAACCTATGATCTACCACATATCATACTAGTCACTAGATAGGGTCTATATCATAATCAATAATCAAGACTAAACCAAGTCTTAAGGCCTAAGCATAATCATCCTTGCAATTCATGCATTAAAAATCAACGTATAGGCAAAATAGCACCAAACCAGCACCGGTTTAGACATAACCGACGCCGGTTATTAATTTTTAATTAATAACCGGGCACCTCGTACCCAAACCTGTGCCGGTTTTACCCATAAACGGCGCCGGTGACCCCCTGGGCAACCGGTCAACATTTCCGTTGACCGGCCATTTCAAATCTGATTTGTGTCAAACGTAATCCCAAGGCTTGAGTGGAAGAGGTATCTGGAGCACTTTATTCATTGGGTGTAATATGTGACGTCACTGCTGAATTCTCATGCGAACGGTCAGTGCCCTCAACCCCAACGTAGTCCTCATAGGAATTGTGCCTGAAGGCGAAGGACTGGAGGCATGGGATGTGGGTACTTCATCTGAGATAGAAAAAGGAAAAATATCTTCAAAAAACTTGACATCTCTAGAAACAAAATACTCCTTGGTCTCGAGATCAAACAATCGCCATCCCTTTTTCCCGAAAGCATAACCCACAAAAATACACTTTCTACTGTGGCTAGCAAATTTATCAAGCTTTCCTCGTAAATTGTGAGCATAACAAAGGCAACCAAATACCCGCAGTTCCCTATAAGTGGGCTTAAGCCCAAATAGCATCTCAAAAGGCGTCTTGCGCTAAAGCAATTGGGAGGGAGTTCGGTTAATAAGATGGGCCGCGGTCAAGACACATTCTCCCCAAAAAGAAATAGGAAGATGAGCCTGGAACCGTAGAGCCCGTGCTACATTCAAGATGTGTCTATGTTTCCTTTCAACTCTTCCGTTTTGTTGTGGGGTGTGTACACATGATGTGTGAAAAAGGATGCCTTGATGTTGAAAGTATTCGTGCAAACAAAAAAATTCTGTGCCATTATCACTGCGCACAACTTTAATTTTCGTAGAGAATTGTCTATCAACCATTGCAATAAAAGACATAAATGTCTTAAAAACTTCCTTTTTATCACACAATAGATAAACCCAAACAGCACGAGAATAATCGTCAACAAGGGTTAAAAAATATCTAGCTCCACAAGAGGCGGGAGAATTATATGGTCCCTCCAAATCACAGTGCACAAGCTCGAAAATTTGAGTAGATTTATTAAAACTAGAGGGAAAAGGATTTCTACTTTGTTTAGCACGAAAACAAATATCACATGGTGTGTTCACACTTTCTGAAGCAGAGGTACTCGTAGATAACCATCTAACAACATGTTCTGACGGATGTCCCAACCGCCGGTGCCACATATCCAGAGAAGCATGCGAACCATCAACAACAACAGAAAAAAATTCGGACAGTGGCCGAAAATAATACAGTCCATCCCTCCTCTCACTCGTGCCAATCAGCCTCCTCGAGTGAAGGTCCTGTATAGCACAAATGTTAGATGAAAACTGAACAAAACATTGTAGATCATCGTTGAGTTGGGATACAGATAGCAAATTACAATTTAAATTTGGAACAAATAAAACATTATTTAATTCCACCAAACCAGACAGATGGACGTTACCCGCCCGAGTGGCCATCACTTGTTGGCCATCGGGTAGCCCAACCATGCGCGGGGGAATATCTATCAGATTACTTAAGCACACCATATCACCTGTCACATGATTTGAAGCACCGGTATCGATGATCCAAGAAGTAGTGTCAAACTTACCAGACATTCTCTCTTGCTGTGAGTGTGTATTACCAAAAACTGTCATCAAAGATTTCCATTGCTCTGCGGTGAAACCTTGCAAAGGTGACATGCTTCCTGCGGCTTGATCCATCTTCTCGTTATGTGGCAGAGAGTCGGCTAATGCAGCATGGGCTTCTGGCGTCCCCCTTGAGTTCCGGAGAATCGCATATTCTCTACCGCACCTAGTGCCTTTCCCCGACCTGCTCCAGTTCCAGTTTTTATCCCGAGACGAGGCCGGTCTCCCCACCACTCCGGGTATCCTATCAACTCGAAACAATTTGCTGTCTCATGTCCCGAGTACCTGCAATAAGAACAAATAAGGCCAGATTTGTCTGGCTTCTCTCGGCTGGGTTTCCGGCGACCTGCTGCACGAACGGCAAACCCCAGCACGTCAGGTTTGTCTTCTTTAATCTACGTGATTCCACGAACTCTCTCTCTTCTTGAGTGATTTGATGATAAGACCTTGTCAATGATGGTAAGGGAGTTGTGTTCAATAGTTATGACCGCACTTGACCGTAGTATTCAGAGTAGAGTCCCATCAAAAATTGGTGGAACCTCTCGGATTCCCGACGTTTTTCATGTAATTCTCCCAAATTACATGTGCACTTACCGCATTTACAAACAATAAGCGGCTCAAAATTGTTTAATTCATCCCACAAAACTTTAAGTTTAGCGTAATAAGATCCGATAGACATATT